TATCCCCTCACCAGACACACACACACACGCACACACACACACAGTAGGGGAGGGGAGAGGAGAAGGCACTCTCCTATTGAGAGATCCACCGATCCACCATCCATTTTCCATTACTCAGTCCCATGGAGACCCAGGGTACACACACATGCCTGGCGTGTTTCTCAAGAAACTGTGGTCACTTGGGCTCCCTTAACTGCTAGGCTATGGGCAGGCTCTAACTTGATGTCTTTTTTTTTTTAAGAATTATTTATTTAATTTTATTCACTATTATCATTTCTTTTTAAAATCTGCTACAGAGCACGTGTGCTCACCAGAGAGAGACAGAGAGATGGAGAGAGAGAGAGAGAGGAGGGAGAGAGGAAGTGAGAAAGGAAGCTACCAGGTCTGGGATTTGAACTGTGGTCGATCATGTTGGAGTCCAGCACCTTACCACCATGCCCCTCCCCCTAAGTTGATGTTTTTAATGTTCTTTAGAACTGTGCATGCTGGCCTCGCTCGTGTTCTCTGGTGCTCAGGGCTAGGGTGAGTAGGGAACCTCTGCATTCCTGTCTCACGGAATTTGCAGGCTAGTGGGACAGAGAGATAGCAGCTGAATGACCGTGTCCAGGACCACGTCATGTGTCCTGGTAACAGCGAGTGTTTCCTGAGCACTTGTGCACTGAGCCCTGTTTTGGTGCTTTAGATGCCACCTCATTGATGCCAGCTGTAGGTCATGCATCGTCCTCAGCACCCCAAGACAGTATGAGTATTCATCTTACTGCAGCTCAGGACACAGCCACGGCAGTCCTCAAGGCTACAAGCCAGAATGTGGTTGAAAGAAGGAATAGGGGGCCAGCAGGTAGCATAGTAGTTAAGGTGCTGGACTCCAAAATGGTTCACCACAGTTCAAGTCCCGGACCTGGTGACTTGAAACTCAAACCAGATATGTACGTGTGCATGCCCATAATCCCAAAAGGAGAATGAAGGAGAAGGGATTGTGGTGTGGCTATCCCCATTGGGGGGGGGGTGTGTGTCTCACTTTCTCTCTCTCTCTCTCTCTCCAGTGAATGCACATGCTCTATGGCAAAATCTTTAAAAAAGAAAAGAAGAAGAAGAAGAACAAGAAGAAGAAGAAGGAGAAGGAGAAAAACATGCCAGGCACATGTGCGAGCATGCCCAAAATCCTGAGAGGAGAATGGAGGAGAAGGAATTGTGGCATGGCCATCCCCCCTAGGGGATGATTTCTCGCTCTCTCTCGCTCTCTCTCCATGTGTGTGTGTCTCCAGTGAGTACACATGCCCTATAGCAAAAATCTCTCTCAAACAAAAACAAAAACAAGAAGGAATAGAGTTCTTTGGAACTAATCTGGACTGGGAAGGAGGCAGGAGGAAGTTGAGGAGATGCCTCTGAAGAGCTGAGACAAAAACGGGGAGTTGATGGGAAGAGTGTGGACAGGGTCCCGAGTGATCTGAGACTCAGGCTGAGGTCAGGTCACTGAGAAGGCGTCCTTCTTTATCCTGGGAGCCATAGGGAGATCATCAGATTGTGTCTTGGAAAGACTCCTCAAGCTGCTGGAGAACAGGCTTCTGGGGCACCCCAGTGGCAGCCACCAAGACCATCCAGTAGAGGACAGTGACCAGGCCCTGGAGGTGGCGGGGCAGGGCAGGAAGTGGCTGAATTCAGTGCTATCGGAGTGAAATGGACTTGGTGCTTCTGAGGACATGTACGGTCTTGAGAAATAAATAACACAAAGACAAAATTACCTTTCTTTCTTTTTTATATACTGAATACATCAAAATACAAAAAGAATAGTATAATGAGCATCTGTTAACTTCTACCCAGAATCACCAGTTGTTAATATTTTGCTGTGTTTGCTTTCTACACACACACACACACACACACACACACTTTTTGTTGTATAATCGCAGACATCATGACGCTTCATCCTTAAAGAACACAGATGTCTACGTGTATTCCCTAAAAATAAG